CACACACACACACACACACACACACACACACACACACACACACACACACACTCACACTCTCACACACACACTGATGGACGCATCGTGTCCAGACCGCAGGAACCTTCTGATTCGTGCGGCCTGCTCGACCTCTCGAGCCACAGCCAGCTCAGCGCTCAAAAGGAATTGCCAGCGATCCATAACTAATATTAATAACTAATATTAATAACTAATATTAATAACTAATATTAATAACTAATATTAATAACTAATATTAATAACTAATATTAATAACTAATATTAAGGACGCAACTTTCAGGAGATCATCTTGAGTAAGAGACGCTCTGCTCTGAATCTGCGGTTATGTTTTGCCGGCCTAGAAGCTCGGCGCTCACCCATGTCATTGAGCCAGCAGGCGATCTTCCTGTACACCTCATCACACGCAGTCACAGTGATAGCGAGCATGATTTTGGGGATGAAGCGAGCCAGCCGAGGCATTTCCTTGATCCCCATCACAAACTCCTGCAGAGACACAAATACAACTTCTCAGCCCCCAAAGGCAATAAACACTCCCACTCTATGAAGCGTGGAGTCTATTTGTTTATTATTAGTTACTGTCTGTGGTTTTTGGTTTCGTGGCCATTAAAGCTTCTTTAAAACACTTCATTACGTCAAACTCTAAAAGAAATCTGACAAAAGAAGATGATTTTCTTGCGTTAAATTTGCTGCTGTATTCATCAAAGCGGGACACAACAAAGAGAACAGATGCTGACAGCTGGACTGACCTGCAGCTCAAAGCAGATGAGCATGACCAGGAAGACAAAACAGAGACAGAGGATACAGATGGGCAGGCTGACCAGCCACCTGAATAGACGCCTCCGCCACGGAGGATAGTAGAACTCCTCGCATCCCGTTATAGGACTGCAGCGCTTGATTCCCTGCAGACAGAGGATATGAAACAGCGTAAAGAGGAGAGGCTGGAGGGAAAACGTACAAAGCACTCATTTGAGTTCTCAAAGGTAAAATGTGAAGCGGAGCCTTCAGCCAGCCGTCACACAGGAGACTCGCTGCCTTTGTTGTTGGCTTTAAATGCTCCTTTTTGATAAAGACAATATTTTAGGGGTGGGTCACGAGACCCTGGGCCCCACATTAGTGACGCTGTTAGATAATCACAGTAACATATTTTTGTTTTGTGCTTTTTCTCCTCTTTGCATTTGCACATGAAGAAGCACGTTTCACATAAACGCACATAAACGGACTGTTTTCTACTCTCACTGCTCAAAGCACTTTAAACAACTCGCCTCATTGACTCACATCGACACTGTGGTGAAGTTCTCCTTCTGTCAGCTGAGGCAGCCGTCAAAAATTAAACCCGTCCTGTTGAGACTCTGATCTGAGCATTTACTGCAATTCATTGGCTTCCATTAAGTTTTGAATCCATTTTAAAAATCTTGTATTTGTTTTTAAGTCTTAATGGTCTCGCCTCTTATTATTTGTCTGAGCTGCTTCACCCTTACGTGCCGTCTCGTGCTCTTAGATCAGCTAGCTGTCCCGGAGACATTTAGGAAATCCCGAGGAGACCGAGTCTTTACAGCTTTGTCTCCCAAAATGTGGAATGAGCTTCCTCTGGAGCTCAGGCAGGCTCCATCCCTCGCTGCTTTTAAAGCTCATTTAAAAACACACCTCTCCTCCTCGGCCCGTGTGAGTTGTCGTCTGTGTTTTTGCCCTGTGTACCCATTTATTCTTTTGTTCTCTTAGTTTGGTACAGCACGTTGATCAGCTGTTATGTTGTTTTTGAAGTGAAATTCTCACAAACACTGTTTATGCTTTTTGTACTGAAGTGCTTTCTATCTAACAGTCATACTTCATTATTTTCTTTCCCGAGGATTCGGCTGCAGGCTGGAGCAGCCAGCGATCAAACCACCGACCCTGCGATTAGTGGACGACCTGCTCGACTCCTGAGCTACAGCCACCCCAATCAATCAATCAATCAATCAATCAATCAATCAATCAATCAATCAATCAATCAATCAATCAATCAATCAATCAATCCTCAGTTCCTGACATCTCCTTGTAGTGGAAGAGTAACTAAAGCTGTTCCCAAAGTACATAATTAAAGTTTTTGTGAATAAAGCAGGAGAAAAAAGGAAACTGTGCAGCTGTCAGCATCATTCTGATTCGCTCGCTATCATTGGTGAGCATTTAACAACAGGTCGTCTATTTTCAGCTGTAGTCCTGCAGGGATGTTTTCCCATAACAAGGACAGCATGTAACCAGTTTCTCCAGTGTGTTATACTGGGAGCTTCTTCATTTTTAAATATTATCTGGATATTTGCCCACTATAGAGCAAATATCACTCAGCTTCCTTACACGTTGGACTATTTGTTGCTCCATGCTCTGCTTTAAATCTGTCCTCCTGTTTCTCATCAGCTATAACTGAACTGAATCCACATCGTTCGCCTTTAATTCCTGTTGCAAAGCTTTGTTCAGTGTTACTCTGCTGCATTGTCTTCATCTGACGCTGTAAAGCACTTTGACTGAATCAGAGTTTAATTTCTCTCACCCGGAACTGAGGCCGTGGTTCCTCCAGGGACTCCGCAGGCGCGTCCAGCGTTCCCCACTTATACGCCAGCTCCGCCCCCCTCCGCTTCCACCGCTCCAGAAACAGAGTGGCCCACACCACATTGAAGAGGGCAAACACCACGCAGCAGATGTCCCGGCTCGTCTAAGGCAAGCATGCAGACATTTATCGGTTTGACTGGGCGGTGTCATTGTTTCCTTTTCCTACACAAGCACACGGCTCATCTCTGCTCACCTGATCGGACTCGGTGAGCATCCAAAGCACGAAACCGATCACGGCGGGATATAACATGGAGGTGGTGTAGAAACCCAGCCAGGCAAAATACATGGCAATCTTCACCCCGAAGTAGTCACAGATATCATCTGTTTGTGAGATCGATAAGATAACAGTGAGGCAAACAGCAAAGTCAGAGATGGAAACAGCGTAAAAGCGAGCTTTGATTTATTAACCTAACGGCTGCTTCTCACAAACAGCCTGGACCCAAGACTTCATCAGCTGGCTGAGGATCCTCTGCTCATGCAGAGGGAACACCTGCTGGATCACACCTCTCGCACTCAGCTCCGGGACTGCAGAGTAAAGCGAGCAGCAAAACATATTTAAGCAGATGATTTACTTTATTTAGTTAGAGAGAGAAGCAGTCGAGGAGAGGAAACCATCAATCACACGCCGCGGCCCACTGAAGACAACGGAGCTTTTAGCTCTGATCACTTACTGATTGGCTGGCCTTCCAGGAAGCTGATGTTATGAAGCACCTCCCCTTGTTTGGCACGTAGGTTGTCCAGCCAGTATTTAATGATGCTCTGCCTCTCCTGCAGCCGCCGGGAAGAGGAGGAGGAGGAAGCAACGTGAGAAAAACTTTTCCCAGTGTAGGTACCTGGGAATAACTGGAGTCGCACTGACCTGCGAGGTGAAGAAGCACAGCTCGCTCTCGATGTTCTCGTAGATGTAGTCCTCCTCGCAGGAGAAGCTCCGTGTTCCTCCGCCAAACTCGGGCTTCACTGCTTTCCTCAGTCCCATTTCCTCGGCGCCTCGCAGCAAACTGCACGACAACATCGGGCAGGTTTTTTTAAGCCGGCCTCAGACGCCCACGCTACACGTGTAATCTGTGTCATCTGCAGTGCATTAATCTCGTCTAATTAAATCTTTTGTTTCTAATTGCCTACGCGGCGACACCCGGGCTCTCACACTCTGCTGGTGGTAACACCGCACATTATGGAGGCGGCGAGAGGAATAATGGGAGTAATTGCATAGTAACAGCAACACGCGGTGTTGTCTCTCTTTTTACAGCTATGAGCTATAAACATGTATGCCTGCATACTGGGATGGCCCTTTTTTCTTCTAACATGTTGGTTAAACTGATGATTGACACTAAAAATAATCCCAATAATCACCTGATTTATCTTAATTCACAACACTGCAGCACTTCTGTTTGGCCACTTTTCCACATTACTAAAAAAAGCAATGGTTTGTCCTTCAGCTGTAATGTCTGAACCTCATCTCATTTCCCATCATGCCTTCCTGCACATCTTCTATCCCCATGCTCTCGTCCTCTTTCATGCCCACGCTGTCTTCTCTCAGCCTCCCCTCTTCATCCATCGCTCTCCTCCCCTCCTTCTATCCCATCATCCTTTTTTCCATCTCCGTCTGTCCTTCCCGCCGGCCTTGTGCTGAAATCTCAATAATAATGCAGCTCCCTCTCTGTTCCCCGCAGGCTAAGAGCTCACCTCGCCCTCACATGTATATATAGTCTTTACACGCACGCACAAAGACGTACGGCCGATGTGTAACAGCCATCCATCATGCAGCTCCATGTACTCGCAGGGGCAGCACAAAGAAGCACGGACGGCACCTGATGGATTACAGCAGAAATCGGTGTAAGGTGTAAGCTTGTGTTTCACGCCTGAATACTGCTTACAGCGCAGAACCGTCACAATAAAGGTCCTTGTGTGAGGAAGAAAAAAACGAGGCTTTATCTGTTTAAACCAACTGTTTAGTAATCGAAGCCAAAACCAGGAGGCCTTTTAGAGGTGAGCAGCTGCTGCCAGGAATCTTAATGAGATTCTCTCTTTTCTTATTTCATCAAAAAGTGTTCAGCTTTTTAACAAGAAAATACAAAAACACAAAGAGAGAAAGTCTGACAGTGAGGCTGGATGCAAAGCGTGGACAAAGCTAACCTTGTAAAGTAACACTGCTGATGGAGAGCTCTGCGTGTTTATGCTAATGTAGGTAATGCAGAAGCTCAGCAGATCCAAATGGCAAACCGTAAACTGCCCGTCAGAGCAGCAGGATGAGTAACTGATGACATGTCAGGTAAGAAAATGTTCTGTTACAGCTGAATTTGCTGCTTTCAGTTAAATGAATGAAGCCTTTCTGAAAAAATGTACAAAACACTCCCACACGTACAGCTCCATCCTGACTCTTTCAGCGATGATAACAACACAACTATAAATCATGTGACGATATGAAAACATACTGAACAAATGGCACAGCTGAACATATCCAACAAAACTAAAACAGGAAAGGATTTTTCACGCTGCTTCATGGTGGACCGGGAATCATTATCCGAGGGGAATTCAAGAGGACGTGGAGTACTTTCTGGGTTATGATTTCTACCACATAAAATGTAGGTCAACCGACCCCACAGCAGGTGTGTGTGTGTGTGTGTTTACATATCTTTGTCAGGACCAAATGAGTTTGAGACTCAAAATGTGGTTTTAGAGTCAGGGTTGCAGTTAGGTTACGGTTAGGCTGAGGGTTAGGATTAGGCATTGATTTTTCACGGTTACGGTAGGGGCTAGGGAAAGCATTATCCCAATGAGATGTCCCCACAAAGATATGAAAACACGTGTGTGTGTGTGTGTGTGTGTGTGTGTGTGTGTGTGTGTGTGTGTGTGTGTGTGTGTGTGTGTGTGTGTGGTCAAGCAGCACTTTCTTTGAGCTTTTCATCCAAAACCCACTGGCACACTTTTAAAAAGAGCACTCAGTCCATCCTTCCTCACCACCTTTCCTCACTGCTTCCTCTTTGCGTTTCTTTACCTTGCATCCTTTCTGCTTTTCTCTCTCTCTCTCTCTGTCACGCCCGCTTGTCTCTCTCTCTTCTTTCCCACAATCTGTCCGCTCTTACTGCATTCACAGGTAAAAAGTTTATGTTAGATAAGCCCGTTGTCTAAAAGCGCAGTCAGCACAGAGGATTCAACATTTGTGGTGAAATGCAGCACGGGAGCAGCTGATCCCCAGATTGTATTTCTCTGTATTTATACGTCAAAGTCAGCACTGATATTAAAGTGACCCTGCACTCACCTGTGACTGTCTGTGACAGTGGGAGTGAAATCACAGCAAATCCACTACACAGAGGTTAGCATGACGCTAAAGCCTCTGGAAAACTTGAAAGACCAGCAGCAGAGGAGCAATGCTGATTCACCAGGCATCAGCTTCACTCGTGATTCACAGTGTACGAGCTAAACTGCTGCGCCTACTATAAGCTGCAACTACATTTAAAACTATGATAAACGGAGGCGCTGCTTCACACCGACACAGCACAGCAGGGTTATTCTCGTCTTTTACATCCCGACTCCCGTAGTAACGTTCAAAAATAACTACCCCTCGAGCCAGTGGAGGAAGAGGCGATATTAAGTAATATCTGCGATGGGTCGTTTGTTAATTATTGATCACAGTTAAAACAGCACCAACATCCCGAACTATGATATGTCTGAAGAAGCAGTGAAGGCGAGAACAAGCAAGTTCGATCATAAAGCTGTAATATTCTAATCATTTTAAAGGAGAGAGTGAAACATTGAACTAACTGGTTAACTAAAAGAACAGTTTGATAATCAGTGCTGCGGTCCTACTGTCAGCAGCATCAGCCAACATATGGCCTGTATTTGTATAGCGCTTTACTCGTCCCTAAGGACCCCAAAGCGCTTTTCACATCCAGTCACACACTGGTGATGGCAGCTACATTGCAGCCACAGCCACCCTGGGGCGCCCTGACAGAGGCAAAATGAACAGAAGCACGACCCAGAGGCTCCTTTCTGATTTGATTGGTTGATTTCTTACTTTTCATACGTAGCGGTGATGAAGAATGCGTAGACTCGCGTGTGTTTATGATGTCGGATCTGGATGATGAGCTCTGGGATTCCCAGTCGGATGTGGTTCAGTAGCCATAGTAACGTGTGGTCATCTGTAGTATCTGTAACAGGAAGTGGAAAAACAAAGAGTTCGTGTTGACGCCCCCGTAGGATCTGCAGAGTACTCCCACAGTCTTTGCTTTTATCTCTGAGCAGCAGCTGGAGGTGTGAGGTCATACTACTGAACACAGAAGAAACACTGTTGCTGTAAAAATCATCACGTTCTTCTCGGCCTGCAGGGCGCCAGCCTAAGCTTACAGCTGAAGGTGAAACTAGGAAATAAGAGCGCATCTAACATTTTTCCACCGACACTACAGTGACTGACTGAGCGTCACAGTAGAAGCTCGTGTTCACTGCAGTTATTGCAAAGTTAACATGTAACATAAGTCATATTGTATGCCACCGCCAATCAGCTCCCAACAGTCATCATGGTAAGTGAAGACCCTGCAGTCATGGAAACCCCGACAATCACATGATCCTCTGTGAGGCGGAACTTGGTGACGGTGGGAAGGAAAAACTGCCTTGAAACAGGAAGAAACCTAAAGCAGAATCAGATTCGGGGATGGGCGGCCCTCTGCTGGGACCTGTTGGGAGTGAGGGGAGCAAGGCAAGACTAAAGACGCCCCGTGGAAGAGAGCCAGAGAGGAATAATAACTAATGATTAAATGCCAAATTGTGTTTAAACATACAGCGAGTAGAAGAAGAAACAGTGCAGCCCTCAGCAGTCTAAGTTAGATCTGATCCAGGTTTAACTTTAAGCTTTATCGAAAAGGAGCGCTTAAAAACAGAGACAGTGTCTGTCCCCTGAACATGAATTATTTCAGTTTTTGGGTCCATGTGATTGTTTCTGCCAAAACTGTTTCCTCAAGACATTCCCAGGACATCACAATGGGCCGAACAATACAAAAAGACAGATCCTCTGTGATAGAACAGAAAATTGTTCCAGCGTTTCAAACACGGGGATTACACTCTTTTCCTACATGAAAAGCAAATTAAAAAGTGATGATGAGCAGCAGCTCCACACTGAGGGTCAACTGCAGACATAGTTCTGTGTTTGTGATATGAAAGCTGTCAGTCAGGATTCTCACACGTATGAAAGCAGCAGGAATGTGTGTGTTTGATTGACCTGCAAATGTCATGAGGACGTCGCAGTTCTCTGTGGGCACCGTTTTCATCCAAGACTTATGAGACATGATGTGTCTTCCAGCCTGCAGCAGCCGCTTCCCGAACAGCTTATCTGAAAGACGGAGAGACAGACGGACAGTCAGACGGACCCACGGAGAGGGGGACAGTCACCTTTTCAAAGAGACAGGGTGTAAGCAGAAATGGCATTTTTAACATTTTCACACACCCCCGCCACCTGACCCCACTTTCTCCAAACCCTTACCCCTGCTGCCACAACACAAAGACACACAAACACACACACACACACAACTGTCTTTCTTGACAGGACAGATTTAAATGTCACACCGCTCTGACTCACAACACGACACTGACTGAAATAATCCTGCCCTGCCAAGACCAGAGGCCACACATTGTTCACCACCCTCTGCTATGATTTATCACATACACAGAGACACGCACACACACATGCACACACACATGCACACACACTTAAAGCGGTTATTTCTGAGTGCTGTGATATGTAATGAGTCTCAGAGACAATGCAATGCTCTGTACACACACACATGCATGAACTCGGTCTGTGTACATCTACTTCATCTCTGGTCCCTGAAGTCCAGAGCAAACTGGAAATAGCTCGACTGTCACAGTAATGTGACATTCAAAACGCTGCCAACTCCAGGCGGGCTGAAGGAAGACCAACACAATAAATTTTCCTCCCTGGATCCTGTAACATCGCTGCAATCTTTGCTGTCCCTGACACCTCGCTCATCTTTCAACAACCTCGCTGAAAAATCGGAGCCAGTGCAAAGAGTCAAAAGAAAGCCGAGTGAACTGCGATGGGCGAAAGCTCACATCCTGCTCAGCTGTCACAGGACCGTCTGTGTAAACTGTTTACGAGTCCTAAATAACAACGACAGCAGCGTGGAGAGGCCATCCCACAGCATCCCCCCTTAATGAAGAGCAAAGTCAAGAAAGGTGGAATCGCAGTCATGAAAGTTTATTTTTGTATGTTTGAAGCAGTAAAATGAATCTTACAAATGTAAAAGCTCGTCAGTCTTATCAGTTCAGATATCACTTAAATGCTTTTAAAATGTGGCAAACAGGGAAGTGGCTGCTAATTTTATTACGGTGCTTTAACTCAAACTGTCACATTAATGCATCTCTGCGCTGCTGCCAGTCAGCCTGCTTCCTGGAACTGTGAACAGAGGGAAAAAGCCACAGAGTGTATTTGCACATCTAGATTTGTTTTTCACCTTCACATTATGTATGCGCATCAGCACTGGATCAACGTGCATTATGAAGTCATCTCTGTATTCATGAAAGGTCATGAGATCTGCTGGTACAGTCCCTCAGTGTTTAAAGCTCTATTAATGCAGATTTATTTTTTTAAACAAAAGAGCAAATTACCAGGTGCACCACGCAGGTGTTACAGGCACTCGAGCTGTTTGTTCATGTCGGACAGATCACCGATAAAACCCTCTGTAAGTCACACATCAAGCACGCAGCACACTGTGCTGGGCTAACTACAACAAATACACTACAACAAATACACTACAACACTGCACATGTGTAAGACGTATGAACAGGAAGCTTTTGGTGATTTTTAAAAGTTTATTTAACCAGGAAAATCCCACTGAGATTAAAAACTGGCCAAGATGGCAGCAGCGAGTATCTCGCAGTTACAGAAATCCTCCAGGATTCAGAGTTTTGATTTAAAAGCACTTAATGAAATGAATTCTGACGTTTTCCGGTCGTTCGGCAGCTCGTTCCAAGCTGAGGATGCTAAATGGACAAAAGCTCTTTTGTCAAGTTCAGTTTGTGCAAATTGAACAGAAAGCAACAAGTAACGGACGAAGACGATAACGAGCAGCACGTTTCACTGCAAGCAGGAAACATTCTTTGGTATTATTAAGAAAGGATGGATCCACCATAGTTGGATATTATAAAATATAAATAACAGCATTAAGGTTACGCTGTAGGAGCAACACCTACTTTTTTACTGTTTTTATTAATTAAGGCCATTATTATTATTATTATTATTATTATTTATCAAATATATCCAGGAAATCTAAAGATTCGTCTGCCTCCTATCTGGTGTCTTTTGTCGAGAATAATGATTTCAGTACCAACATCAGTATTTAAAGAGTCCCTCGAGTACTTACGAAGAGGCTGCAACCGCTTTATCTGGTTCCACGCTGATTTTCCTCTGAAGAACATTTTTAAACATCTCAACAGGCCAAACAGGAGACGGAGGTGTTTGTCTTTTTATTCTTCAGTGCTTCTCCTGGATACTGAAATGTGACTGGTTGTTCCACTGTGCTTTAGATGAGATGCTGCAGGCAGCGCTGCAACATGACAGCAATTCTAATGAGTCCTGTATTCATCGCTGAAGGCAACACACACACTCACACACACACACACACACACACACACACACACACACACACACACACACACACTTGGAGCAGCTAACAGATTGGTTTCAACAATTCAACAAAGCTTCACTTCATGTGTCCCGATGTTTGATTCATACGTCGCCCGTCAAGGCTTGAATGCACAGACGGGCTCGTGCTGCAGCTTTGTGTTTGCACGTCCCCCCTTTGCTATAGAAATAACCCGCCTCTCATGTTCTGGGAATAAGTTGTTGTCAGTTTCATAGAAATGTATTTTCATCAAGCAGCACAAATGAGAGCACGGCCAGATAAGCAGCTATTTTTGGAGTGTTTTGAGGTAACGGTTTGTAAAACAGCAGCAAATAATAACGGTATTAAACAGGACCTGTGCAGTGAGGGTCGTGTGTTTGTTTACTCTTTTGATCCATATTTATCTTTAAACAACATCTCGGTAAAGACTGTGGAGCAGCTACACAGAAAAACAAAAGATCCCGGATGTCATTTTGGTCGGTGAGTCTGAGCTTGAAAGCCCCTTTGGCCTCGTAACAGAAACCAGGTCAGTGTGGACTCGGCTGGTCCAGGACTCGCAGTCGTACAGATGAATCCTGCATCACTCATGGCCTTCAGAGTCAGGCGGCTGCTGTGGGGCTTATCAGACAGCAGCCAGGCAGGCATAACAAGCAGGGCGTCGTTCTGTGACTAGTGCTCTCTGAGTGTTTCTCTGTGGGTCTGTGTGTGTGTGTGTGTGTGTGTGTGTGTGTGTGTGTGTGTGTGTGTGTTGCGTGGGCGTGGGTTCAACGCCCGTGAACGGTCTTGGTGTGGTGTGGTGTGTGTGTGTGTGTGTGTTGAGAAGAACAATGAGATATAAAGTATGAGATTAATGGGGTGTAATTCAGTCATGAAAGTCAAGCAAAGCTTTTAAATGAAGGTCACAGACCTGATGTGTCTTCTCTGTCTTCCTTGAGCCTCCTTTAAAGATTTTGCTTTGCCAGGTAAAAGCACGTTTGTTTTTAAAGTTTTATGAACTTTTTTCTTCCACGTGGGACAAAAGCTGGGACTGAAAGCAAGCAGCAACCTGCGCGCCTGAGAAATGAAGCCGGCAACAGTGACTCCATCAGGTACCAAACATGGTCACAGCACAAGTTAAGCCTTCAAACCCCATAAACCAGCAAACTGATAATAATGTGTTTTTATGTGTTATTGAGTTTGTGCACAAATAATTAATGTTCTTTCGTTTCTCACTCAGTCCGGTTAGACATGAGGTTTTTTTGTTCTCTGCCAAAAGATGTGCATTCAGGAAAAAGATCAAATGAACGTGCTATGGAAAAATAAGCCTCATTAAACTGTCTGAATAAGCAGATTTCAGTTTGAAGTCCTTGAAAACCTCATTTCAATGTCAAATAAACAAGTGACAACGAATAAGTGAATAAGGGCCCACACAGCCTGCAGACGGCTCGGCTGGCAATTTCTGATCATGAGTGAAAAATGACTGAATGAGTCCACAAGCGCTGGCCAGCGGTTGCTGGAAGTTGATGGCAGTTGTAGTGAAAATGTTTGGTGAGGCTCGTCACAGAGGCCTACAGTAACCCCTGGCAACCACCTGCCTTCCCCAACCAGTTGGCCAAAACCTCCCAGTGACTGTTTTGCTGCATCGGTTTGAATGGAAGAGCCGGACTTTACAAACAGTTACTCTAAAAATGCACGTTTCCAAGTTTCACTACTGCTGGGATATTTCATGAGTATTTACAGAGAGACACGGAAAATTGGCTCCAAACTAAAGAAATCACAGATTATTGTTGCAGCACCTTCTGTGCAACCGGCGCAACCTCCAGGAGCCACACCCAACCGACACATCTTTACCTAGCAACTGGAGGTTGTATAATTTCCAATATGGCAGACAGCTCTTGACCAATATGCACACGGTGTCATGTGACCCCAACATCCAGAGCTGCTGGGAGCCTACGACTGATAAAGCTGATTAATGTGGGAATATGAACCTAAACGAAGATGCTTTTACCTTGTGGTGCAAAGCTTTGAGTGGCAGAACTACAGAGGTCCTTAATGAGCATCCTTGGAAATCTCATTAAACTTTTACTGCAGCTTTCAGGTCCTATGATGAACCGCAGGACATTTGACGACCGCACATTTCTCTTCACGAACTTTCAGCTCATCGCTTCAAACCACATTCCTGAAAATATGGTCACAGACGTCCCGAACAGAAATAAAATGTGTCGCTTTAAGTAACAACCAGGAACACATTTATGGTTAGCAGTAATAGCTTCTGTGCTTCACACAGGAGGAAGTTCGGTGAAGCGTCGACTTATAAACAGGTTTCATTTAAACAGAAAGCATCAAAAGAAAGCACACACAATCAGCCTTCATCATCATAATAATCTATCTATAACAATATTATGTAGTCTTTATCAAATATTTTACACGTGAGAGATTCTGTCACCGTGAATCTGAATTATTTTCCTCAAAAATCACATCCTGAGAAAACAGCAGGTTTGGTGATTCGCTGCAGGTGATGAAATCTGTAAAATCAGCTTAATGAAAGTCTGCATTGAGCTTCTGAAGACTGGGTGTTTTCGTCTATTCAACAGAGAGCCTGAGACAGACATAAAGTAATAAAGGCAGAGAGACAGACACAGCTCCCAGCAGACAGAGGAAGGACGGCAAAATATAAAACAGGCAGAAAATACTTGTACTGTCACATCTA